AACAATTTCACTTAGTTAGCCATGGAAACAAGTTCAATCGCCGTTGCTCTCAGAAATGTGAAGCTGTCACATCCAAACTTTGTAAATTAAAATAAACAAAAATTGTAAATATGATTTTTTTCAAGTGAAGAAGAGCATGTGGATACTCGCGCGTCAGTAGAGTGGTTCCAACATGACTTTCGTTATAACCCGCCTCCCCCATAATGAAAGAAATGTTAAAAATTATTTATATCATAATAATGCAAACTCAGGGATAGGAAGAGGTGGACCAATTGCATGGGCCTCCTTGATCACCTGACCTATCCATTTTAGATTTTTTTTATACGGTATGGTTAACAATAAGGTTTACAAAAAAAAACTTATGAATTAAGAGGGGCACTCGTTGTGGCGCTACGAGAGAAGTTCAATTAAGTCGACCGGTCCTTCTGTGAGAATAGGTAGTAATTCGCTTTTAAAAGATGCAACTCAAAACAATGGCGGTTTTTTTGAACATTTTCTAAAATAACTTAAAATGTATGTAGTAATATTATTATTTTAAGTTTTAGTTTGTGTAATGTAAATTGTAAAGAACCGTTTAATAATATATTCTGACTTTTATAAGTTATAAATCATAACAGAAGAAGAATACCATGCAATCTAAGTTAAATTAGTCTAGAAAGATAAGAATTGACTGTAAATAAATTCAGCTTTTCAAACATGTCTTAAAGCCCGTTCTCTAAAAAACGTAATATTCACCGGTCAGAGTATCCTCGAAAATGTATGGCCAAAGTGTATGGCCAAGAACAGTTGAACCAATACAAATACACGCTTTTCTTCATTTTGAAAAATTCATATTTACAATTTTTGTTTATTTTAATTTACAAAGTTTGGATGTGACAGCTTTACATTCTGTGAGCAAAGATAGTCATATCTCATATCATAAGTCATATCTCTCATCATAAGTCATATCTCAAAAATGACAGGCATTAGAACAAAACGGAGGACACAATCTCATTAAGGATGAGATTATCTACAACTTTTGTCTAAAATAGCTTATAATGGAATTAGGGACAATTTTTAAAATAGCCATAATTTGTTTTTTTCGAAAAATCTAGTAAGCCATGAACTTTTTCAAAAATCTGAAAGGCGCATACTTATGACCTCACAAAACTGCAATTTTTTCCCATTTAATCGACTCTCTATCTTCAGTAGTTTCCGAGATACCCATAGGGAACATCGTAGGAAACTCACCCTGTATATAAATACGTCGTGCGTCGTCTCTTCTTGCTTTTAACCAGTTTTATTGGTTTATTTCAAAAATGACATATTTCAATATTACTAGAGTGACGCAACGATGAACAATGCACGGATGTAGATGCGTATGAACTCGGCTTAAGATTTTTGAGGCTTTTCAAAGTCAAGCTAAATTATAGGTTATAATTTATGTCAAATTAAGTCAAATAACCTGCATTTCGGAAAATGATGCATTTTGATTCGTGTTCCTAGTGAGCATTTGATTCCTTAAAGGGAAATATGTTCTAGGTGACGTCGTTGTTACGTTACCAGGCCCATCTTTTGCCTGAAATGAAGCAATAAAACGCAGATAAGTAACTGTTCCCTAATGTTTCCTAAATGTGACAAAACTTTGATCATTGTGTTATTACATATCTTTTTTGTCTTTTGAAGTTAAGAGGAGAAAAAATCGAGGGAAAATTATTTGTAGACTCAGAGCATAGTTAATATTCTGTGCCCAGACAGAGAGTTTTATTTGAAAAAAAAAGAGGTTTCCTAAATATTTTCCGTATTTTTTAATGCAAATAATTAATGGTATCAGTGGCGGTCCCAAGGGGGGGGGGGCTTTGGGGTCTCAAGCCCCCCCCCCATAAGCCCAGTCAAAAATGCTAGTATTACAAGGATTATGTATTACGAATTAAAACCCTAAACATTGCGAAATTCAACATCAAAAATCGATTTATTAGGAATCGATTCACATGGAACATCCCTATTTCAGCGCGGCTGCTCGGAGTGTTCGTGAAGGTCTTCGAATTGTGGTTATGTTTGAATTAATTGAATTCGAATCAGAGTACCTAAACCGACGAGTAGCGACAGTCCCGTTTTCAATTTTCTTTGCGGCTGCGCGAAATAAGTAGGTTATCTGTCATACGAAGAAGCGAAGTTGCCACTGTTGCCATTTATCAAATATCTCTATATACTTTAATAACTTTATTTCAAGTATACTTCAGGCAAATCTCATTGATTTTTAGATTTCTCTCTCCAAGAGCTTCCAGCCAGATTTCTAAATTTCTTTTCAGTTCTTTTTCGCTGTTAGCTAAAATTGCCAAGTCATCTGCAAATGCGCATTCTTTTATCCAAATTGGTTGTAGATTTCTATGACCGGCGTATACTCTTGTAACAGCTGCACTTGTACCCTTTATTATGTCATCCATAACTAAATTAAACAGAGCCGGGCTGAGGACTCCACCTTGTCTCAGTCCTTCATTTACGGTAAAAATATCCGAAACCACATTGTCTGTTCTTACATAGTTCCTTGTGTTTTTGTATAAACACATTATGGCACTCTTCATCTTTGAATGGACATTCCTTTTCTTTAGGCTATTGCACACGACTTGTCTAGGAACCCTATCGAAAGCTTTTTCGATATCTAGGAATGCTACATATATATTTTTCCCCGTTACTTTTATTCTTTCTGCCATTTGTTTAAGCGTGAATATATGGTCCTGTACACTTCTTCCCTTTCTGAAACCACTCTGTGCTTGATCGAGTAGTTCATCTGTGTCCCCCTTTAATCGTTGTTCCAGAATTCTTTCAAACACCTTCGATGGTATGCTAAGCAAAGTGATGCCTCTATAGTTTGCACATGTTGTTTTATCATCTTTCTTGAATATAGGCAAAATAATTCCCAATTCCTAGTCTCGGGGTACCTCCTCTTCATTTATAATTTTATTGAGCAAATCAGTGAAAACAGTGACAGCACTTTCTCCAAAATTCTTCAACATTTCTCCTGTTATATTGTCATGACCCGCAGCTTTCCCCTTCTTCAGCATTTTTATTGCTTCGATTACTTCCGTTTCGTCAATTTTTCTATACGCCGCGCCGTTGTGTTAATATTACTTGCTAATTCATTTTCTTGCGAGTTAGTAATAACATCATCTGTGCATAATAACTTCTGGAAGTATTCTTTCCAGCATTTTATTATTTCTTGTTCTTTGGTGACTAAGTTTCCATTCGAGTCGCGTATTTGTTTAACTGAACTTTGTTGATTGCCAGTTTTGAGGTTTTTAAGAACATGGTAGAACAATTTCTGGTTAGCGTGATAGTCGTTTTGCATTTTGTTCCCAAACTCTTCCCACGATTTGTTTTTTGCTTCTTTGGCCAATAGCTTAACTTTATTTCTCTGTTCTTCGTAGAGATTATAAGATTGTACCGTGCTGTCCTGTAAATACTCTTTCCAACGTTGTTTCTTGCACTTAACTTGCTCTTTTAAATTCTTACTCCACCATACCGTCTGCTTTCTAGTTTTATTATCTCTACTTATTCCACATACTTCTTCGGCTATTATCAAAATTGATGTTTTAAAAAGAGTCCACAAATATTCTACCCTCATTTGGTCTGTTTTTATATTGCATAATCTTTTTTCAATCATGAATTGGTATTTTCTTGCCATATTCGTTTCATTCAGCCGATGTACCCTAATTCGGTTTAATTATTATTTATTGTTTAAATTTATTTAAGAAGAGAAAAATTTTGAACCTAACATTACAATTATTTTGTTGCAAATATTATTCCTAATCTTAAATTGAAAACCGCGTTTCGCTAGCTACTGTAATTTTGGAGTTACGATTTTTTAAAATTTTTAACCCCCTCCCATACCCCCTTACCAACACCCCGCCCCACCAAAAACTAATGGCCAGATTCTCGGGTGCCACCTTTGAATAAGAAGACTAAGGAAGGAGCATATCAAAAATCTTAGGTACACCGCGATGGGCCTCAAATATGGCCGACTTAAATTCCGGTTTATCAGTGTCGTTCTAATTTTATTTAAAAAATGTAAAACTATGATGTAGGGTAGACGTGGGGTAGACTCAATAATTTGTTGTTTTATTTTACGTTGTGAATAAATGTTGGTAGTTATTAAAATTGTTATAAAAAATATATAATTCTAATAAAATAGATAAGTTATAATAAGTATTTATTAACACAAACATCCGATACGCTACTGAAGCAGGTAAGTCAAATTAACGTATCAAAATTCTTTGACATCTGATCTTTGACAAGTAGTGAATAAAAGCTAAAATGCAAGAAAATATATAATTTAGTTAATTTAAGTGAATTTCATAAATGATCGGTTTACTACATGTATGTATATTATATAGTCACTTACTAGCGAAAAGTTGTTCCATTATTTCACTCAATTTTTTCCGAGATCTACCGCACGCTACACAACCAACTATTTTAGAGTTTTTTTCGATAAATCGCGATAATGTCACTGTTAATTTAAGTTCTGCCACAATTTCCATCTACATTTACTACCTTTATACAACTATCAGTAGTAGAATAAATAATAAGTAACATAAAATAAGCTCCGTAAAGACTGACAAATCTCCAAAATTTCAAATCAAATTCAAATGTGTTAAATGAATCGTCAAACAGAACTGTCAAGGATCCCCACCCTAGAGTGCTTTTTCCGCCCACCATGCATGAATACATGGATAGCATTATGCTCCTTCCTTAGTCTTCTTATTCAAAGGGTGCCACAGTATTTTTGTGCCAAATTTGGTTAAAATCGGTTTAGCGGTTTTTGAGTTATCGTGTTACAGACGGACAGACAGACAGACACCATGAAAATATTTTGTATTTAGGTCATTTATGACCCAAATAACTCATTTTGAGTGAAATTAAAAAACTGTCCATACCTATTGGTACGGTCGGCTAATAATAATTGTATGAAAAATAATTATACAATTATACAAAAATAATTACTTACAAATACAACTGTAAAATACGTTTTTTCGTATACTTCTTTTGAAGAAACATGAACAACCATCACAACAGTAAACTCCATAATGTTTACCATAGGATTTATCACCGCATACTTTACATGGTACAGGAGCAGGCAAGTTTCTACCTAAAAAATTGAATTGAATACAAAAATATATACAGGATCCGGCAGTAGTGCGTCGGACATCTGCCCAGCTCCTAGAATAAAAAACTTGAGAATTTTGTATAAGTGCAAACCTAAAGTATGTACCAAGATGCATTTCAGGAAAATATTTTAACTTCTATAGGGTGGCTCAAAAAGTGTGAGTGGATCTGGATGATTTTTTAAATGGAACACCCTGTATATTATTGCATTTTTTGCTTTCCTCTCAGATCACTTTACATAATCCTAAGATATGAGTAAATATATTTTCGATTAGTTTCAGAGATATTAAAAATAAATCAAAAATATAAATGTTCAGCCCTTCTTAAAAAATTATTAAAAATACTAAGATCTGTTCTGAAATCAAAACGATATTAGGTATTTACTTTAGATGGTTAGTTTCTTTGCTATAAATGATAATCGTAAATTATACAGGATGTTCAATGTTTCAGCCAAACTTTCTAAAATATAAAATAATTTTTTCTTTGTTTTTTTAAATAGTAACATCCTGTATATTATTTTTTATTAGATGGAGAGTTAGATAATGAACATTTTTTGTATTTAAAGTATTTCAAAATTTTTTAACAGTTTTGCAGATACACGCAGTATTATTTCATATGGCGCTTACAATGGTAAAATACGGGAGAAAAATCATTGGGTGGCTTTGATAAAAATTTTCTGTAGAAAATGCCATATGAAATATAAAACCGCGAATATCTGCAAAACCGTCAAAACTTTTAAAATACTCTAAATGCAAAAATGTTCATTTTTTAATTCTCCATCTATTGACAAAATAATATAGAGGGTGTTCCATTTAAAAAAAAAACGGAGAAAAATTATTTTATATTTTAGAAAGTTTGGCATAAAATTCTGAGCATCCTGTAAGATTTACGATTTCCATATTTATAGCAAAGTAAGTACAGACCATCTAAAGTAAATACCTATTATAGTTTTGATTTCAGGACAGTTCTTGTATAATTAATAATTTTTTAAGAAATGCTGAAAATATAAATTTTTATTTATTTATTAATATCTCTGAAACTATCGAAATATGTTAACTCATATCTTAGGATTAAGTAAAGTGATCTGAAAGGAAGCCAAAATGTAATAATATACAGGGTGTTCCGTTTAAAAAAATCATTCCGATCCACTCACACTTTTTGAGCCACCCTATAAAAGTTAAAATATTTTCCCGAAATACATCCTCGTACATACTTTTGGGTTTACACTTAAACAACATTCTCAAGTTTTTATTCTAGGAGCTACAAATCCCGACGCACTATTGCCAGACCCTGTATATTATGTTAAGAATTAATTCAAACCTGTCTTACCCATTTTTAAGAACTGAAACTCTTAAATATGTAGAGCGAATTGAACTGAACGTGTAAATATGATCAATCCCTTCTTTTATACCTTTTGAGGGTGACGATAGATATCTGTTGAGCAATAATTGACAGGTTAAGTCTATTGTTAGAGTGTCCACGCTTTTGAGAGTGTCTATCGAGTAAGACCGCGTATAGCAAAGACTAGATTTATTTTCTTTTCAATGTTATATTTTACCTCAGCGGCGTGCCAGTCATAACTCAATTAAATAAGATTTATAAAAAAATGTGCATCGGTAAATAATAACTTGCGCATTTATAAAATATTTTGTGCATTTTTATAACTTTATTATACAGGGTAAGTCTTAAATAAGTGGAAATATTTTTAGGGTGGTATATTTTTACTTTTGAAAAACAGTAAAAAGAAAATCTGTTTCTTTTATCGAGATCTACGAGCCCTTCAAATATTTGCACCTATTTAAGACTCTCCTGTGTTTTGAAAATCAAGAAACTTTTGATCTTGAAATTCGAAGACAGTCGCAGTTATGAAAGTTTGCTTACTATAATAAACATAAAGGTGTATGTATAGACTCTTATTATTAGAATATTTTACCCAAAATTATACAAGCAAAATGTAAACAAACCGTTTGCTTATGTACAGAGGTTTCCATTTTCGTATGTTTGACGGGGTATCTCGTTTATGAGTAGAGATACAAAGATACGGTTTTTATATTATTGTGCCACATATTTATAAAACACGATGGAAAACATCTGGTAAAATTAATATACAGACCGGACCACCGTAGTAGTAACATAGGCAGAACCGGACGAATTTGCGTATACCCGTCCGCCGGATAGAAAGCAGGCGAAAAAATGCGATAAAATAAAAATAGGTAGATATGTGATAAGAATGTTTCAGAATTTGTATTTATTCATGTTTTAATAGCCTAAACGAATACATAGATTCTCGCGACAGTTCTCGTGTAAAATTTATTTTTAAGTAAAATAATGGACGTTTACGAAGTTCGTGAGAAAATTCAAATTGTAAAATGGTATTTCCAAAATAGGTCTTATCGGAATATACAAACAATTTTTCCACAAACTTTTGTAAACAGGCCAATTCCATCTTTACCTACTGTATCAAGGGTTATTAATAATTTTGAAACACATGAGTGCGTGTTCCCACAAAAACACAAAAAGCCTGATGTGTTGATTAATGAAGAACAGGAGTTAAAGCAAGTGTTCATTTGTGCTACAGCGGATCAAAATCCCACGTTTTCAAGTAATCAAATTGCTGAGGTGGTTGTCCTGTCCACAATGCCCGTATTGTTCAAGAATATTTGAACAATACTTTTCCCCACCGTTTAATTAGTGAATATGGAACTATTTTGTGGCCCGCTAGATCACCAGATCTTTCTCCCAATGACTTATTTTTGTGGGGTTATGTAAAATCGAAAGTGTATGGTCATAATAGGGCTAATAACCTGGATGAGCTTCAAGTAAAAATACGAGAGGCTTTCCAAACTATTAGCCCTAATATGTTAGCCAATGTCAGACGGGGATTTTACGACCGCCTTCTGTCTAGCACAAGAAGATGGTCTTTTTGAACACTTGTTATAACTTTTTCTTATTTAGAGTAATATTTTAGTTTTTTTTTGGGGTTAGAGAATTTATTTATTTTTAGTTTTGGCTTGTAAACACACTCAAATAATAAATATTTATATTTTCATTTTAAATGTTACCTTAAGTGAAGGCAAACACTTAAAATGAAAATAATAAATACTCGGCACTCCTCGCGTCGTATTCCTAGTCTGTCACGACCGACCCGTCCAAGCACAACTGCAACTGCATACTGCCTGACCATCTCGAGTACGAACATAAAACGGGTAAACGTAAATTCGTCCGGCAACTTGCTATGTTACTAGTAGCCTGGTCTCTCTGTATACATAAATTAATAATAATAAATAACATCTACTTTTAAAACTAGGTTTATGTGTTAAAAAGTTAAAAAATGAATTTTTACCTTGTTTATGAAAATATATAAATATACAGTATATTATATTGTTGATATCTCATAACAAGTCAAATAAAATAAAAATAATATACAGGGTGTCCCATTAAAAACAGTTATGCCACTGGTTTCTGCATAAAAATAATCTACGGTTCTCAGTTTTTCACCTTTTCGAAGTTACAAGATAATCAAGATACAAAGGTGTCAAAATATGCAACATTTTTAAATTCGCCTTGTATTTCATAAATCAAGGGGTCTAGGACAAATCTGTGTGTAGCATCTTTAGTTTAATAAATAAGTAGCTCAGAGATTAAGCATAGTTGTATCTCTACTCATAAACGAGAATCCTCATAAAACACACCATGAAAAAAATAAATAAAAATATAAAAATAAAATAGATTCTTCCTCACAATTTTTATCGAAATATTTATTAGAACTACTTACCAGTCTTATTTTCCATTTAGTTGATCCACGAGTCGCTACTGATCGTAACATACTGCTTAACGGCGGCCTTTGACCAACACTTCAACCCCTGTCTTCCTGCTTTTATATTTCCCTTGTTATTATTTAATCTTTCCGTGCCCTTTCAATACATTTCTGGTAAAGTGATCGTTAGCACTTCGTAATAACAAATCAAGGTTGACGTCTAGAATCAACAAAATTATAGGGGCTTACTCCTATTTTTTGTTATTTGATTTTAACTAAAATACATTTCCGAGTTTTTTATTTGCTACAATAATATTGAATAATATAGAAAGTTAAATATCTTACTATAGTATAATCTCTCTACTCTGAATCTCTCATACCAAAAAACGGCGTCAAACACTGCTGGGAAATGACAATCGATCATAATTTTGGAGAGGTCAAGCCCTAAACGACATTTACTTGACCCGTACTCTATAATAGCCAACTACTTCTGTCCCATTTATGATATTTTTTATCTTATCTAGTCCCATTTATCTTATTTTTTATCTTATCAAGACGGGTGTCTAAAAATGTTGCTTACTTTTAAACACCGGTATTCTAAAAACTAAACTAACAACTAGATTGTAGATTTTATGAGAGGAGAAAGTTAATCACCGCGAATATAGATCTAGTATATCCCCTTTCTTGAGTTATAACTCATTATACCAAAAGTGTCTCAAAAAGTGGCTACCCTATAACTTTTATTTTTTCAGATAAAACAACGAGATTTGGTATGTTAGTATGTGAAATAAATTGGGATTGATTGACGTATTCAATTGTCTTCGGTTACTTCCGGTTTCACCGGAAATGACTACAACTTTTGATTTTTAAATAGCACCCTCGGTATTTTTTTATTTTATTCGATAGAAAATGATACTGAATCGAATGACATATTATTTACAATTTTTGACATAGTCACTTAAAAACAAATTCTATTTTAAATTTCAATCTAGAGTACCATGGCTGTGTTAAAAACACTAATTTTTAATCAAGGAGCCTTGGAAAAATAGATTTGATCGTCTAATTTTTTAGTGTCTTGTCCTGGCCGGTTAAAAGATGCCCAAATCGTATTTTTAATCATATCTCAATTTTTTCAAATGGAACGAGGGTGGCTCATTAGCATATTTGGAAAAAGCATTTTTTTATACGAATAATTTGATACCACACACTTGGTATTTTGAGGCAAATTTTCGTTATGAACCGCATGTTAAATTTCAAATAAACCATATGCCAAAATGTCAAAAGTTGACATATGATATGTCATTCGATTCAGAGTGTCATTTTCTATCGAATAAAGGAAAAAAATGCCGAGGGTACCATTTAAAAATCAAAAGTTGTAGTCATTTGTGACCGAAAACAATTGAATACGTCAATCAATCCGAATTTATGTCATATACTAACATACCGAATATCCTTTTTTTATCTGAAAAAATAAAAAAGTTATAGGGGTGAGCCACTTTTGAGACGCACCCGGTATAGTCACAATAATCTCAGGACTTTAACAAAAGCCAGGTAACTGAGACTAAGAGATCTAGGAATATAGAAAGGTATTAACTAAGACGGTGTTACATAGGTTAGTTCTCCATCTCCGATATTAGTCGTATAGTATTTCCGAAGTCAATTGGAAGTATGTACTGAGACACTTAATGCCTTTGTTTGGACGATGCCAACAAAGGCACTGACAAAGACAGTGTCGAAATTAAGAGTCCCAATCTATTTCAACTGACTTCAGATAAACTATACCAAAGTTTATATAGTACGAATGGTTGTCGTTTTCGGCGCACTAATTGATGAGGAGTTTTGACGTTTTCCCACAGAATAAGCATTTGCAGTACCTAAACTAAGTAACTGGAGGTCAAACGCACCGACGGCCAGGTCGCAACGACCAGCCAACGCAGGACGCTAGTGTGGGTTGTATCATTTGATTTAATGGTATTACGTGTCGCAGCGACCAAGCTGCGGCCGCTTGGGCGTGGACGTTAGTGCGCGTTGGATCATTTAATTGGTGGTCGTTGGCTTTGTTTGGTTAAATAATAATATTGGCCGTCAGTGCGTTCAACCGTTCTTGTCTCATGAGTGCGTTCGAACTCTACAGCGCTTTCTGATGGAGCAGAGCGTCCGCTCTGTTTTTGTGCAGCTTGTTTTTTCAAGATAGCTGTCAAACGAAATCATCCGGACGGAGCATACGTGACCTATGTGAAATTGTTCATTTAAACTCATGGAACTCGCGGACACTCCGCTCCATCTGAAAGCGCTGTAAGACATCTCTCTGATCTGAGGGATGTGTATAAAAAGTAAATTAAAATAGGGTGTATTAATTAAACAAGGATGATGTGGCAAAAACATTTATTTTTACAATGGCATTTTCTAACAACTTCTAATTATTTTACGTGATTATATATACAAATACTGCAAAATTCTATTGTATATTTACAATTACAATTGAATGTATTAAATAAATACTAATTAATATGTAAAAATGTACATATTCAACGTTATAGTCTGTCTCACGAGAGAATGCTTGACAGTGACAGTCATTTTTTGGATGTCGTCGGTCAAAACTTTCCCTGATTCGTTGGGCGGACTTCACTATTTAAGATTTTAGATCTGATAATACTTAGAAAATGTCGAGACAATTAAATTACAGGATGTCCTCGGATTGTCTTTACCAGTGGAAAACTTTTTATTATTGGCATTTTGAGAAAAATGCATTCATCATAAAAATTTTTGCTTGTTCTAAAATGATTAATCACGTTTATATTTTTCCAAATTTCCACACCGTTTTAGAGAAAATTCGAAAAAAAAACATGAAAATATATAGTTGAATTTTTGTAAGTCCTAAAAATAAAAAGGCGTTTCTATGGTAATATAATTTCGATTTCATTCTTTGATAGATGATTATTATTAATTTTTATTAACGTTATATATATTTCTTCTTTGCTGTTGTTAAAGTATCACATTTTGTAGCATTGAACTAAATAAACTATGTGCTTCTTTAATATTTTAAAACAACAAAAAAGATGACGTTTATTAAAATTCTGTCAACAACAATCTATGAAAGAATGAAAACGAAATTATATTACTATAGAAACGCGTTTTGATTTTTAAGACTTCACACTTTTCTTGTTTCAAAAATTCAGCCATGTTTTCATGTTTTTTCTAATTTTCTCTTAAACGGTATGGGAATTTGGGAAAGTATAAACGGGATTAACTATTTTAGAACAAGCAAAATTTTTTACGAAGAATGCATTTTTCTCAAAATGTCAATAATAAAAAAGTGTTTTTTCCTCTTGTAAAGACCGTCCGGGAACATACTGTATAATTCGAGTTTTTAAACTTGTACAAATTTTGAGATTTTGTATATTTGATTATATACTCTTTAGTATCACACAATTTGAATAAAAACACATTTATATTTCACTATTTATAAATATTATACACAAAAATCAATATAGAATTACTCAATGTGAGTTAAGCCAATATAGTAAGCGTTCATACATCAGAAATAAACTTAAATTTGATCAAAAAAATTTATGAAGAAAAAAAAAAATAATTTTAGTGTTTATAACAGTCTTTTTTACAGGAAAGCGTACAATGTATACCTAAATGTGCTTAGGTATATTCAGAAATAAATATTCTGAAAAATGACTCCTATAAATAAATTATATATTTATCTACACTGTATGAGCGAATAAAAAAACATGTTACAGGTGGTAAGGTACAACATAATGGATTATCATAAAACAATTTAGTAGGTAGGTAGTATGTACCTATACCTATACCGTGAAATGAAAACGTTCTGGCTTTTGACAGTTAAAAATAATCTACTGTACTTAATAAGAATAGCTGATATCTGCTATTATAGTCAGATGTCAATAGGGAAATTAAAACAACTTTCGTTGCACGTCATCAATGACACCATGCGTCGTCTTATGGAGTTTGCTGGTGGTCGTATTATGATGTGCAACGAAAGTTATTTTAATTTCTCATATAATACACAGTAATATTCTTATTACAGAGTAGTATACATACACAGCAGTATACAACCATATAACTGACATCTGCTATAGCAGATGTCAATTATGTGTATGCATATGCATGTCATCAGGAATATCTATAATTAGATTTTCAAAGATTCTTAACATTTTCCATATTCTAGTTTGAAGATGCTGTGATTGTAAAGAATTTCGGACATAGTATATATTATAATTCGACTTGAATTGTTATGTAATGTAAATTATATGTTATGTAACACCTACTTTGACGTCGTTTTTATCTGATCACACGACATCGTAAATAGTGTGTATTAAAAAAAGGATTTGGTTAACCAATAAATAATTATTTTTTAATACGCACTTGACACTATCTATTAATCTACATATAAAAGTAATAAAGTAATATACCTGTGGACATTCATTTAAATGACACAAATATTCAGACCTTCTATACAAGATTGTTCAATATGTATATTTTTCTGATAACTTTGAAGGTATATTTTATATATATATATATATATATATATATATATATATATATATATATATATATATATATATATATATACAGAGTGTTTCAAATTCGACTTCCACCATTGGGCTGTCGGAAACGGTAAGTGAAACAAAGTGGCTCAAATTGGAGAAAGTTAGCTATCGACGAGACCAATGATAATCCCTTTAGTAATAGAGCTTATTTCCGAAAATATGAAAAAACGGAAATTTCCTGTTTTCGTTTGTAAACTTACGTGCATAGAAATCGGCCCACTGTGAACTTTTGGTTTTAACTGTATCTTTTAGAATCTATTTATCAGAGCAAGTAGAGAGTCAAATTGGAGAAAGTTAGCTATCGACGAGATCAATGATAATCCCTTTAGTAATAGAGCCTATTTCCGAAAATATGAAAACGGAAATTAGCAATACGTAACTGAACGAAGTACAACAG